GAGGAGGAAGAGGAGGAGGAGGAGGAGGAGGGCGACGAGGGAGACGAGGAAGGAGAGGAGGAGGAGGACGAGTGGGAGGAGGAGGAAGGTGACAAGGGCTCGATAGCTTCGTTACCTGGGTGGGAGAGGAGGAGGAGGTGGACGACGAGGGCGGCGAGGAAGGGGAGGAGGAGGACCTGGAGGAGGAGGGCGACGAGGAAGGGGAGGAGGAGGACCTGGAGGAGGAGGGCGACGAGGGCGACAAGGAAGGGGAGGAGGAGGAGGAGGAGGAGGAGAGCAACGAGGGCGACGAGGAAAGGGGGGAGGAGGAGGAGGAGGAGGAGGAGGAGGAGGAGGGCGACGAGGGCGACGAGGAAGGGGAGGAGGAGGAGGAGGATGCAGAGGAGGCAGTGAGGAGGATGAAGGGAAGGTCGAGGCCGGTGATACTCACCGGGCGATGGCGCCAGCTCCTCCCTCACACGGCAGCACGGCAGCACGGGGCGGCACTTGAGAACGGTGGCAGCCCCTCCTTGAAATGGCAACGGCACTGGCAGGAATGGCCGTGACCGACCGCGAACCTACCCAAGAGGCCCAGCCAAGCCCACACACAGCACAACCTCACGGTCCGGCCTTGAGCGCGGGCCTAAAAAATGTTTTTTGGGCCTTCGCCTCAATTGTGGCGGGGGGCCTCCAATATGCCGTTTCGATCCCCGTCTTTTTTTTTTTTTTTTTTTGGGGGGGGGGGGGGGGTCCCCGCACACCTCGTGCGCCGTGCGGGAACGGTCGGGCGCGTGCGCGGGACGTCCGGAACCTCGTGCACGACGTGCGCTTGCAAGTATGCGCTATATCTACCCCCAACTGCACACCGAAATGAGAAGGTGCTTATCAGGCCTTAAACCACCAGTACATGGCCCCGGGCAACTGGAGGAGCTGTTTTGAGCCTCTCCGGAAATAATGCAACAGCCCCCACACGTCCTCGCCCCAGCCAAGTGAAAAACAAAAATGGACCAGGAAACTGTCCAACTTCAGATCTGACAAGTCACTCGACTCCTAGGTCCTACGACCGACGACCTGACCTACAAACAGCCATGACCCGGTAGGACTGCTGCCCCTCCTAGGTGCGGCTGCACGTAGACTCGAAACAGGGAAAGAGGAAAAGGAAAAGGACGACCAAACAGCGTGGGCCTACCAGTACCTCACAGTCCAGGCCTAAAATAACCAGAATTACTGAAAAGTCCCTATGTGTGGCACCTACGGCTCGGACCCCTCAATTCAAGAAGGGGAAAATTAGAAAACAGTCTTACGTTAGTGTACAGCCGGCTGAATACTTGTCGCATACCGTAAAGGTGCAGACCAGAACAAGAACCGACCTCTCTCACAAAGTACAAGATAACACATCGGAAGGCTTAAATACCAATGATCCGAACAATCAATGTCGCAATGTTGCCCAAACATACATCATCATCATTCCATGGTGTGAAGGGGCCTGGCGCTCACACAGGAAGAATGCTCCAGTCCCCAACCATACACAGACGAAGAAGAGGGGGGTTAGACAAAAAAGAGGGGAAGATGGGAATGTCGTCAACACCAAGTCTTCGGTACAGGTCCCAAATAATCCCTAGTCCAATGTCTCAATCCCAATGTGGAGTCTGGATCCAAATGTCGTCAAGTCCCAAAGTCACCAATCTCTCTCTCTCTCTAGTAGTCTGCAGATATTGAGAAGTCAGGTGGCAAGAGGGTGAGGGAGAGATGGTGGACTTAGAAGAGGAAGAAGAAGAACTCTCTCTCTCTCAGTCCGGTACTAACCTGTGAAGTTGGCGCCTTGTTGCAGGTACATCAAAGATGAAGCTGGAGCTATGGCGCCACAGGTAAGTCTCCCTGGCCTCCGCCAACCATYTCTCTCTCTCCACCACTACTCTAGCTCCTAATAGCACCCAGCGCTGAAGACTACTGCTAACGCTACTACTACTACTGCAGCGCTCATCCAGAGTGCTGCCGCCGAATCCTGAAGACTGCCTCCTGCCTCCTGCATGTGAAGTGCCTGGGAAGTTCCTAGGAACTACCTCGCGACTGTCTGCAGCCTGTAGGGCGGGCCAGCCTTATATAGTGCCGGCCCGTCCAGGAGGCTGCTCTTGCCAATGCCTCAACGTGCCAGACCCTGGCGTTGAAGTTCAACCAAGGGTTGTCTTGAAAACAGGCCAAAAATGGCCTGTGCTAAAACCCTGGTCTGGTGCTTAAGTTTCAGGGCAGGTCAATCTCTTATGAGGGCCTGAAAATGGCCCTCCGTTTCAGGCTGAAACGACTCAGGGCCTGGAAGGCCCTGTTTTAGGCTGAAACGACATAGGGCCTGCAGGCCCTCGTTTTCAGGCTTTCAGGCCGAAACGACACAGGGCCTGTAAGCCCTTGTTTTCAGGCTTTTAGGCTGAAAACGACACAGGGCCTGTAGGCCCTTGTTTTCAGGCTTTTAGGCTGAGAACGCCGGTCGGGCCCTGCAGGCCCGTGTGGCTGCGCACTATGCCACAATACTGCAATTCATTGCATGTGCATGTCAGTTTAAAGCCCAGCAGGCTTGCATGCATGTGAGGATGAAACACAGAGGAGTTAAAACTCTCGCATGTCAGGACAAAGATCCGAAGCCCAGCAATGGTTACCGATTGCTCACTGTGTGTGCGTCTGTGTGTGTGTGTGTGTGTGGGTGTGTGTGTGTGTGTGTGTGGGTGTGTGTGTGTGTGAGAGAGAGAGAGAGAGAGAGAGAGAGAGAGAGAGAGAGAGAGAGAGAGAGAGAGAGAGNGAGAGAGAGAGAGAGAGAGAGAGAGAGAGAGAGAGAGAGAGAGAGAGAGAGAGAGAGAGAGAGAGAGAGAGAGAGAGAGAATCTTCAGCAGTCTAGCTTTACACCAAGGCATGTTTTCCGCCAGGGTAGAGACCCGACACAAACGTCCATGAGGAATCGCAAAGCTTCCCAGCCCGGTGTGCTGTTGATCGTAAGACCTACCTTTTTGACCCGAATACAAAACATGGTCATTATAGCTGTATTTGGGGTATCTTGCAGTCCACATACAGCAATAATGACCATGTTTTGTATTAGGGTGAAGAAGGCAGCTGTTCTCACAAAAGTGCTTGCAGTCAGGTACGCCAATGCAAGGGGTGCAAACATGCAAAGGCATCAAAGGACGGAAGGGTGGGGAAATAGAAGTACAAGACTGAAAAAAAAAATAAAAAAAAATAAAAGAAAGGTGAGGAAACTATGCTCTTCACCTGAATTAGAACCCCCGGTCAATACAGCTGTATTCTTTGCGACTCTCAGTCTAGATTCTAGAATCTAGATAGAGCGACAATGACCGGGCGTTCTATTCGGTTGAAGACGGTAGGCAGCAAGGCAAGGAGAGGCAGTGAGACAAAAAGTCAGGAAGGCATAAGGCAGCCAGGGAACAGGGCAGCGGGTGACACGGCAGCAAGGTGGCAGAGCATAAGGCAGGCAGGCGTCAAGGCCAGCGGCAGGGCGCCACTCTGAACTGTAGGCCACAATGCAGCAACGCCAGAGGCAACAGACAGTATGGCAGCAGAGCAGCACACAGAAGCAGTCTGTGCTACAGAAGTGGGCCCATAGTGGCGCCGCTGCTCCGCTGCCATAATTACCAAATGGACGAAAGCGGTCCATCACCTACTCACAGAGTCACAGCACAAGTAGAACCCCATGGCACGGACTGTAGCTTCACACCACGAACAGAGCCAGGGAGTGAGTAGGACGAATGCCCTTCAGCACCCAAGGAACACATACACAGGCATCAGGAACCCAGCAGTCCCCCTAATAGCACAGCAGGGATTCCAAACAAACAGACATGGCTATTTACTATTTAGCACGTCGTAGAAGTGCTCACTTAGACACAGGAAAAGCGTAGCGTAGGAAACATATAGACGGGGAACCAACCAGAAACGACATACTTTGAACGAGGCCTGGCTTGATGATAACCCTGCGGTGGTACCCACCGTCATAGCATGCATCTTCTAAACCTTATGGTAGATTCTTCAGATTCTTCCCCTTCCTTTTTTTTTTTTTTCTCTTTGGAAGTTTGGACTCTTAAGAGTCCTTTTTTTTTTTTTTCAAATTTTATTTTTTATGCCTCCCGCGTTCGGAGTTCTGAGTGCAGTTTGTCACCTGCTAATCAATGGCCAACACTTTTTTTCTTTTATTTGATTTTCTTTCCTTCGGCCTCTCATCTCACGGCGAGCGCACCACAAAGTGGATTGATGGCGGAAATAGCTTAATGGTAGAGTATAGCCTTGCCAAGGCTAAGGTTGAGGGTTCAAATCCCTTTTTCCGCTCGTCAGCTTCCTTCGCTGCCTGGCCAAGAAAAGAATGGAGCCGACACCACCCCACCCTGGGGTGGGTGGGAAAGATGAACGCTTCGCGGCGGTTGTGTCACCAGAGGCCACGAAGTGGGAGAAAGTGGTTAATGAAGATTTAAAGCGTCATTTAGGTAAATACATATTAGAATAGTAAAAACATAAGCTTGTAATACAGCAACACCTAACTCTAACCCAGTTAATGCGAAAACAATGAGAAAAGGTGCAAGATGAGCTAAATACATGATACCTCCCATAGACAACATAGTCCAAGCAATACTTCGTATCAACCGTATTTTCGAGTTAGGAATAAGTAAAACGATGAGGGCCCCTAAAAGAGGCCACTTGATAAGACCACTCAGATTGTCAAATAATGGAGCACAAATTTGTAACATATGTGTTTGCTTTTTTTGGGTGGTTTCAACAAGTTTTTAGTTGGTTCTTACGTCTCTTTTTTTTTTTTTTAACTCTTTTCGGTTTTCTTTTTTTTTTTCTTAAACTTCTTTTCCTTTTTTTTATTTCTTCAATACTTGTTTCTTGTAATGCAGGGTGTCAGGAGGGATGAGTGTGGCTTCGTCGTATCAGGTCGTAGGGCCACCGTTGCCGCAAACGTCAAGCTGCCATAATTTGGCACAGCAAAGATGTCATCGTCGTTTGAAGTACGACGACGGATCCAAACCGGGGTGCAAACAATGCTTCAAGCCTGCGGCACATGCACATGCGCCTGGTGGTGGTCACCGTCTGTGTGCAGAGTCTGCATCCATCCATTTTGATTGGAATGGTCGTGCCAAAGTTCGCATGTGCCTCCGAAGTGCCCCTGCATCCGTCACCACTGCAACGTTCTCGCCCACTCGCATACGGTTAAAAGAACATATCGCCGTCCCTACGAAACTTGAGAGGACAAAAAAGAATCCAAGGCACTGCCGGTGTCAACAGTGCCGCGCGGCCCTTCACCATCCAAGGCTGAAGGAAGCGGCCAGCTTCCTTTTTGTCCGCTGCTCGCATACCACCAACCAGGGTGAACGTCCGGCAGGCTTTTTGCTACCTCACACAAGAGGTAAGCAATTGGCTGTAGAAGCTCCGGCTTCGGCAGGACAACACATGTCTGCTGCAACATCCTCATTGCACAGCAGCAGTACGTCAACAACAACAACAATGAAAGAAGAAGAAGAAGAGGAGAAAGACAAGGATGAAAGTACAGCATCTGTGGTTGGTGAAATCAGTATAGATGAGGTTACTAGTGACTGGGAGAAGTTCTCGGCCAATGTGTCGGGTGAATGGGATGGATTCAGCGCCGATTTCCTCGCAAATGGCGATGTATTGGAGCTGCCTGAGTCTGTTGTTCCCCAAGCTTTTAGGGACTGGGAGGTCAGAGTCTGCGACTGGCAGACCCAATGCCCAACCCTTGCGACGACCGATCGCGGCATAACTTTCAAGACGATTCGGCTTCTGCCGACGGTCGGGTGCGAAGCGGACGCTGCAACCAGGTACGACACTGTGGAGAAAAAACTGGGTGGGCAAGGTGGTGAGAGCGCTGCGCTTCTCGCTTACAAGGATGACGGCTCTTTCATCGCTAGCTGGCATGGAGGAGGGAGGCAGAGTGAGGCTTATCCTGCTGACGAGAGTGGTAAGGAGCTTGCGCTTCCAATGCAGTGGACGGTCGAGCATTGTCTCGTCGAGGGAGAGGGAGACGACGATCGATCCAGGGTTCGAATCTTGCAGTCGCTGGAGAGAACAAGTGAGGGAGGGCTGGAATCTGTCAGAGTGAAAAAGATTACGGTTTTCCGGGAGCGATACGAGGGCCCGTGGCGGAATGGCGAATCTTTCGGCGGATGCTCCACTGGCCTGGGAGCTTTTGCGGAAGCCCCGAGAGCAGAGCAGTCGGCGTTAGAAGGACGGTGGAGTGGAGAAAGCTGGCGATACGATTTCAACCTCAACCTCTCGGCACATGACAGCGGTATAGCGAACAACCTTTTCGCACTAAGAAAGGGAGAGGGAGAGGGAGAGGGAGAGGGAGAGGGAGAGGGAGAGGGATCCTTTGAGGTTAATTGTTGTAGTGGTGCCGCATCCACTTTGGCGAATGTGGCGGGAGATTCGTATCCGCTAAGTGGGGTTTGTGTGCGTTTGCCGACTGGGCTGTGGTCGCGTGTGAGCATCAAGAACGAGGAAGTCAATGATCGTGAAGGAGGACGACTTACCGTTGAGGCGGGATGGCTCTTGGAGGAAGGAGGACGGATGATAAGGTCTGTCTGCGAGTATGGGCGCACCGGAGAAGTCAACAGCATGTGCATCGTCTCGGGAACACGAGCAGGAGGAGTTGGAGCGTAAGCTGTGTGTAGTTTGTTGCATGTGGCTCGTCGTGAACTAGAGAACTAGGCATACAATTCGGATATTGGGTTTCTTCGCGGACTCTTCTGCGTCTGGCCATGGCTGAACTTTCAGGGGGCAAACTTGTTTGGATCCGTCTGTGGTGTTCTGGACGTGGCGAGGACTGATATGGATGCTCGGTGGTTTAAAATTTGAATTGAGAGGTGAGCCATGGATGCTTTGGCGGTCGTTACCCGGGGGGTGGGGGGGGTGGCATTGAAGCGGAAGCTTCCTAGCTGTCGTCCAGATTGGTTATGGGTTTGGAGAATGCAAAATGCTAAATTCGAACGGTGCTTGTGTTTGTAGGCTGCTTTTCATGATCGACAGGGTGCGGAAAGTGCATACGATTTTATTATTATTATTTTTTTAGATGAATATATTGGTCATGCTACAGACGCTAGAATGTAAAATGATACTAAAATCATCGACCATTCTTTTTTCCCTAATGATTCATTCCGTGTAGGGAGTGCGTAACAAAGTTGTAGACTACTTTATAAGTTAATACCAAGTTCAGGACTTGTATAGTTAGATAGTATTTTTTTTTCACAATTTGAATTAATTAAAATATATATATATATATTCTTGTAGAATATTTTATAAGTTTACAGCAAGTTTAGGACTTGTATAGTTAGATAGTATTTTTTATTTTTTTTCACAATTTGAATTAATTAAAAAAAATATATATTCTTGTAGACTATTTTATAAGTTTACAGCAAGTTTAGGAGTTGTATAGGTAGATAGTATTTTTTTCACAATTTGAATTAATTAAACAAAAATGTCATTCTGTGAAGTTCTTCAGGGAATCAGTTAAAATTGGAACAATACTGAGAAGATTAGCATGGCCCCTGCAGAAGCATGACAAGCATCGACCGAGAAATGGTCCAAATTTAAAAAATCTATGTATTTATTATGTACTCTGTAATGCTGGTTGAGATGTGAGGTTTTTTTTTTTTTTTTTTTGAGATTTCGAAGTTTTGCTTCTCCCTTGATTTCATCAAATTGCAATTTTTTTTATTATTTTTTTATTATTTTTCACTGTGAGAAACGTCAAATTCTTGAGAAACATCAAGAATACAATTTTTCACTGCGAGAACCAACCAAATTATAATTGTTGATAGTTGTTCCTTTTTGTAAGTTTTTTTTTTTTGAGATTTCGAGGTTTTGCTTCTCCCAGACCCAGACACGGGGCCCATCACGACCCCGGCAGCTGGCGAATCCAGGGCATCCTAGGACAATCCGGACATGTCTGGATCTGTCCCTTTTTTTTTTCTTTTTTTTTGAACTATTGCAGCCTTGTCAAACTTTGCAATCCTGCCTTGCCAGCTTCGATACCTTCTGACCTGTCATTGTGCGGCTCCCCTCCCCTTCCTTTTCCCCAGCCTCTCTCTCTCTCTCTCTCTCTCTCTCTCTCTATATATATATATATGAAACTCCGACGAAACAGTTTGTCACAGCCCCTCGTTTGTTGTCCTCTTCTCTCTCTCTGCCTACGGTTTACCGGGCAGTTCTATTTGTGAC